CCCCCCAAAGTCTGAATAAAGAAAGAGTCCAACAAGATTCCCAACCTCTAACAACAAATCCCTCAACCATGGAAGGTGATTAATAGGATCCTAAGGAAGGAAGCCCTAGTAGAATCCACCATCCCGAGGAAATCCATGACAAGTTCCAATAAGTAAAACGGGCTAGTTCCTAAACGTCCAAAACTCACAACAGGGCCCAAATAGAATTAGCAAAAAGAAACCACCCGACGGCCCAACGAGCTACATTGGAACCAGACAGACTCCGCACATTCAGAAAAGTGGAAAAACATCATCCTTTCCCAAGTAGGGGCAGCGAAAAGGTCAATAAAAATAGCAGCGTTATGTCAAGACAGGATTGGCCCAAGGAAAGAAAAGGCAAGATAAAAAACTCACTATGAAAAAAGCTCAAAGGATAGAAACCCCCCCTCCTCAAACCATAGTCCAGTTGTCCTAACAAGCAAGACGAAGAAGCTCAAGGGAGAAAGTCCGTGCCTGGGACGAACGTCAAAGAGAGAAAAACGAAGAATCATCTGGAAGACGCCTCCGAAGCAAAAACCAAACAAGACAAATAGTAACTGATCGAAGAGTATGATGAGATCACAGGTGCGCAGAACTCACCGAGAAGAACATACTAGGACAAGCACCTCAAAACAAAGAAACCGACTGTCCCACCCCCCTGAGTTCGAAGGAGGGGCAACTGAAAGGCGAAGAATCGTCAGATGAGAAGAGGGTGTACCGCAAGAAGGAGCATTAGAAATATCGAGTGTGTGGTCCCTGGCAGACGCAAGTAATAGACCCAGGGTCAGATGATCTGATTCCTAAGAGTTTTCACGAGGAGTCTCAGGAGGAGATCAGGAGCGGCCGTCAGACCCCGAGAGCACCGCCCAGAATTCTGATAGCAATACCTCCCTCACCCACTTCCTTAGTCAGCCAGTCAAGATAAGCTCCTATAAAGACGAAGAAGACAATGCAGCCAACTAACTCCCCCGCGGATAGGAGGACTAAATAACAATGTCACATTAGACCAGCAAAGAGTCTCAGGAACACCAGAATATGAAACCAACGAAAACATCTGAGTCGGAGCAAATAGAAGACCTGCAAGAAGATTTTCTCCCCCACTAATTATTCCAGAGTCAAACGGACTCGATATTATCCCAAATCACCGGGTTAAGGATGATCCCTTAATCTAAGATGAGACTCCAATCTTCGGGATAACATCATCAGCTCCCCCAAAAATATAAGGAGAAGGAGCCAGAAGACTAGGATCTCCTAATGCCCACGGCAGAATATGAATCACCCATCCCACCTACACAAAGCTCGCATCAGGCAACAGACGGTTAGGATTAAACACCAGGAGAGACCAACAGGACAGGGTGAACCAAGAATAGGAACAGATTTAACGAAAACCAAAGTATATAAAACTCGAACTGGATAAGGAAGGAACTAAGATTCTCTAGAAGAAAGTCTAATAGACTCATCTCCCACACATACGACGATCCCAACACGGAACGGGCCAAATCCCGAGGAGAAAAGGACCCCGGGGGCGGGAAACAATCTTTAAGGAATCAACAAGTAGAAGGCACTAAACGAAGCAGACGGAAGGGGATCCATTAAGGAAACCATCTAAAGCAGGAATCTCAGAAACCGACAATTCCGGGAGCCTGAGCTGGTAAGTGGCATCTGAAACACGCGTACAGACCAGAGCTGACTGGACAGTAGGTAAACACGAAAATGGAAAAAAATGATAAACTGCACGAGAAGGTAACAGAAGGAAATAAAATCATAAAATTCCGGAAACTGCAGCTCCAGGTCCAACGGCTCCTAGTCAACACAACTAGAAGAGTAGTATTACGAGTCTGACTGGGGGGTAAACTAAAATAGTTCAAGCAACAACTGGAAACCCCATATAATTCAGGCACAGAGGAAAGAGTAGGGGACCAGGGGAAACAATCCGTAAATGGAAAAACATGCTGCCCCCCC